TGAAGTGTTGACACACTTCAAATGAGAAGTGTGTCAACACAATAACAAATATCTTTAATGCTAAAGCAGAAACCACAACAGCATGCACAAAAAACACTGTGATAATGCTAACATGAGAACTGCATTAAGACTAGAGAGCATGACGTTTGCAATGTGAGAACTGCAAGCTACACAGCCAGCTCACTACACTTTGTTTTTGGTTTTGATGGGATGCATATTCATGCCATTTCTCACTTTGTCTGATCTCCTGTTTGAATTGTAAAATACAGACTCGCCCATGCATTGCTCCCTTTGTCGCTTTGTGGATTTACTCAGCTCCTACTGTTCCTGCCAAGGACTCGTTCATATACACACTGTCAGCCTCACCGTGAGTATCTTTCTTTCAGTTTGAAAAGCTGCCAAAGCTTCAAGCAGCCAAAAGAACAAAACAAATTATGTGCAACACTTAGCAGCATTTCACCTGTTTATTGTTCTGCCTCATCGTATCCGCATAAATATAAATACCCCCATTTAATCCACATGCCATCTTCATTTTTGCTTTATTTAAATCTTGTACAGAACAGTGGACACTGAATATATATTAGCTGACTATATCTGAGCAGAGTCACATTAAAGGAATTATACATTCAAGTGCATTATGACTGTTTTGAGAGAATTGTATCCATACACATTTGTCATGTACCTCATTATGTCTATTTGTTTCAGTCTTTGTGTCGACTGGATTAGTGTTCCTCCAACTAACAGTTATGATTTTCTTGGCAATCAGTTTTATTATACATACATACAGAGTACAGACCCCTACTATTTTGCTGAGAAAGAACTCCAAGTGCAAACACTATAGGATCCACAGGAATAACATTCAACATTTCTTCAATCTCTTCTTTTATATCTTGCCAATACCTCTGGAGCACTGTTCCACAAGACATGCAAAAAGATCACCTATGAGTCGGCAGTTTCTCCAAAACAAGAGCAATGGAAAAGCTTTACAAAATGTTCAGATTTTTAAAAAACACACATTTTGATCCTTCAATCAAATTCCTTCTATATATTACTACTAATGAGTTTGTGATTATCCATGCATGTGTCCTCAGAGACCAAGTTTAATTAAAGTCCCCACTATTTTTTTTTTTTTTAGAGTGTTTTCTGCAATCTTATTTACCAACATCCTCTATATGTGTGAGAATATGGTTCTTAGCAGATATTTTCCAGTTCCAGTAATAAAACATTGTTCAATACCCACTGCTCTCTTCAGCCTTGGGATATAGTGCCTTAGTTGTAGGTAGCAAAAGAAAGTAATTTGGGGAAAGTGCAAATTGGTTTTGTAATTGAACAAATGATTTTATTCCCCTACTGTCAAAGAACTGGTTTATTATACTATTATGCTTCCTTTAGAGTGCCACTGTTTGAATCCAATTATCCCACAATGATGGTAGGAGATCTATACTATGAGCAGTAGGCATCACTCGTGATAAACATATCCATTATTCCAAAGTTTTAATTCAAGAAGGGCAGGGCTGAAAGCTCCTCACAAAATATGTAATAAATGTTTGTGGTTTGGCAAACGTGTCCTGTCAGGAGACTTGTTTTTATGGAAGGTATGTCATGGGAACTGTTTTACATAATTGCATACAACATGGGAATAACTGATGGGTCTCATATGTCATACAAATGGTTTCGTATCTGCTGTGATTTAGTAGTATTTAGTTATTGAAATTAAATGCCATGACAATTTAATAAGATTTTGAAAGAAGAGCCATGGTAAAGAGATAGGATTACTTAAAGGCAAACTGTGATAATCTCATCCGGTCTTACTCAGTCATGTAAAAAATGAAATATCCCTGTTTTCCCTACAAAAATAATGATTTTGAAACACAATAAATTCACCTTCAGCCCTCAGGCTTTCAAAAACATTTGAACAGACTCAAACTCATTCCTGCTTTTCTCTGCAGATTAGGTGGCAAAACCTGACACGAATTCTTCCATAAAGTACTCAGAGGAGGTTTGCAGTGTGGTAAAGCCCCCACAGCAACATTTCACATATTAAGTGCTAATTGGA